CATGTAGGAGCCATATCTCATGTCCCCTGGCTTCACAAGAGAGAAAGAGAATCAAATTCAAAATCAGCCCAAGACCGAGTGCTATGAAGCGGAGGTCAGACATGCTTCCTCCCTACAATCTTCCTACCATCCGTTCTGTGCACTCTCTACCTCACATCTGGGTTCGAGAATCCATTACAATGGCCACACAGAACACATAACAACACTCATGATTTTGGGATTAATTAGGGAAGTGAAGTGGTACCATCCAGGATCAAAACTAACTCTGGGTGCAGCAGTTTGTTCTCCAGTCAGAAATGCCTCTTTTCTGCCATACTGCAGTCATATCTCAATCTTGTCTTGGCCTCTGCCCTGCCTGGGAAAGTGTTACAAAACTCTGAGCCAGTCTGTGGATGTCCAAAGGCACATTCTACAAGCCAGTCCTCTGCTGGTAGGTACTCAGCTTTACTCAGTCCATGGGCCTAGAGCCCAAAACTGCTCTGCATCTCCATGCCACTGCCGTTGCCATCACTGTTTCTCTAGGTAGGGTTCTCAACGCTTTACTCGTGATCTTCCTTCTTCATGGTCCTAGGATCCTCTGTCTCTGTTTCTGAGATGGTTCCTTGTAAACCTAGCTGAAGGGCACAACTAATAAATTTCAGCCTTAAAGTCCAGTGTACCTATTTGCATGGTACCATGATGCAGGTTAATGTGTTGGGCTGCAAGGTTGGTTTGAACCACAAGGTCGATGGCTCAAGCTCATCAACTGCTCCCCAGAAATCTTACAGGGTCACAATGGGTCGGAACTGACTTGGATTTAACAATAACAACCCAGTCAATTGGTGGGAATTAAGACGACTTTGGATAGAAAAGCCAATTCAAGTAAATTAAGGGCACCATAACCTCATATCCATTTCCATTCTTATATGCTATTCCCTTTCTGACTGAAATATTCTTTCTATTGTTGTTAAGTGCCGTCGAGTTGGTCCAGACCCATATTGAAAAAGTTTATGTCAAATTCAGCTAGTGTGTTAGCAGCCATGTCTTTGCGTGTATGTCTATGAATTGGGTGAAAGTTTACAGAACAAATTGGTTTTCCATTCAGTAATACATACACCCACCCCTTGTCTGTCAGTTTATCATACTGTGGTGGCTTCTGTGTTGCTGTGATTCTGAAAGCTATGCCACCAGTATTTTAAATACCAGTAGGGTCACCCATGGTG